CCCCAAAACCCCAAAACCCCAAAACCCCAAAACCCCAAAACCCCAGACAAATGATTTAGACTTGAAATATCAATATTATTGATTAGAATAAATCTTGTTCGCTATCATAATTGAAGATCATCTTGGTAGGAGATTCTTCGATCAAGCAGTCAAGCCCAATTTCTTTGTCATAAATAGAGTCAAGATTTTTGACAGAATTAATGACCTGGTCGTTTAATTCCTTTGCGTTTTTATCATTCACATCCTGAGTTATTTTAACTCCTACTATTAGGAATTCGAGTCACTTTTTGATGATGTGGCTGATATACTCTAGCCCACAAAATATACTCCTGCTTTCCTCGTTCTCAAGGAGGTTTACTATTCCGTATTTGTCAGAAAACTCTTGGAGACTCACATTAAGAAATGTTCTGACCAGGAAGTCAACAAAAGCTACATAGTTTTTGAAAATATTGATGTTCTTGAATTTTAAATACTCTGGAAGGTTCTAAATTAAGTATTAAGATAAGAAAAGGAAATATCTATTATTATTCAGGCTCAAACAAAGACTGTATACACTTACTTCTTTTAGAGAGTTAAACCTATTAATATAGTTATCGAGGTAATAGGAAATATCGGTATCAATAGCTTTCTCTTCTTTTTCTTCTTCAAGGTTATCCTGCTTATCTCAAAAATGATTACTAGCGAAAGTGTTGGCAAAACTCTCAAGCCAACTTTCATTTTCTTGATATATTTGAGGGAAGAAACAGAATGATAGCCAAGGGCATTTATTTATCTTGGATTTTCCTTGCTGGGCATCTTCAGGGTCTTCCTCCAAGAATCCTGATTTTAAATATTTCTTTTCAAGTTCTTCATCATAGAATAGGGCAATGTCAGACTGAATGGCTGATCCTTTGGAATTTAGGTAGCAAAGAGTTGTAAAATACTCAAATATAATTTCAACCACATATTCTGGATGCTTTTCCATAATAAAACTAGGAATCTCATCGAGCTGGATGAGTTTGCCTGGAAACTTTTGCACAATGAGATAAGATCTATTAGTTTTAGAGTCTGAGGCCATTTCAAGAATTCCACCTTTTTCCTTTATTTTAAACTCAGAGATTCCATAAATTGTCAAGAGAGAACGAAACTGTAAATGATTATCTTCTGAGAATTCTTTTCTTTCATCAATTTCTATTCACAAACAGTCAAGGTTTAAATATTTCCCTTCATATACATGAGAGTATCCTTTTATTTCAATTTTCTTGGATATTGTGATCTTTTTCCACTGAATATTATAATGAGGCTTCTGACCAAGTAGATCAAAAACGTCTATGTATGCTTTGTTATTATCAGTTGACACAACTTCAACCTTTCCGTAATCTTTTGCCAATATTCCAATATCGCTTGGCTTCAAAGAAGGATTTGAGTGGTATAAAGCAATTGCATTGGAAAGCTCCATCACTGATCTACTTGCAATAGCATATAGGGCACTGCTAAACTTAGAGATTTTATCTTTGTTTAGTAGATAAGGAGGAATATCGATTGTAGCACAGAAGGAGATCCTTTTCTTTCTTCTGTCTAAACACACTTTTCCATAAGTTACCTTCTTATTTAAAGTCATTAGTAACTTCTCAATATTTTCTTGGCTCCAATCTAGCTCCCATGGTTTCTGGATCTTGTTGTAAAAGAGAGAGGAACACTTCATTCTTCCAGGAGTCATCTCCCATTTTATCTCATAGAGGACGGTTTCATGATTCTCATAGGAAATACTCATTGTCCAGTTCTTCTGGTTCTGGTTCATGGTATCGCTGCTTTGGCATTTGAGTTTCTTATTGTAGATCCACAAATCGAATAATTTTATTAGAGGATCCGGGATTTTCTTCTATATCAATTTTCATTAGGTGTAGTGAACCAAGTGGAAGTAAAATTTTGTTTAAAAATGTGATACTTGGTAAACAATTTGAACTCAAAATTTTGAATCCTAAAAGTTTATTTAAACTAAGGAGATTGCAGATAAGCATACTTTTATTCTTGGTGCTGATGTGACTGAGCTTGGAATAAATGTCGTCGTTCCTTCGCTGCTATTTATTAAAGGTATATTGTGTGTCTGGCTTAGTTGACTCACTCATTGCCCCACGGAAGACGAAATTCTCTCCTTGCCTGAACTCATCATGCACATATCTCTATAAATAATTTTGGATTATAAGGGCTAAAAGTCACGTTTTAAAATTTATGTTCATGAAACGAAGAGCGTTTCATGGCTCATATGCATAACTTTCTTAAAGGCAAGCATCCCAGCCAAATTTACTTACTCTATGAGGATATGAAGAGATTATAGGTCTTTGCTCTGGTTTATTTGAATTTCTTATGCTTATTGTCAAATTCATCTAATATTTAGAATTAAAGCATACTCTTAATTCTTCGAGATTCTTGATAGCTTTCGTACTCGAAGGGATTTTTGATGTGTTCAATACTTTTGTTGAGTTTGTTTTTAATATTTTCAATAGACTTTTTGACAATTCTCCTTAGATTGGAAAACTTCTTCTCCAATTCTTTTTCTTGTATCATAGGGCGAATAAAAGCGACTGCTTCAACGTAGCATGCCTTCTCAATACTACAGAGTAAGAGATAGCTTACGGGAAATAGGCAAGGTTGTACTTCATCAGGAAGGGAGTCCGTTGTTGAGCACTCATTGAGGCTATGGCAAGGAATGTTCAATCTATGTTGGGGTGAGCATAGGGAAGGATGACTGGTAATATGGACGACGAGTGTAGATGAAGGAAGGTATGAAAGGGTTTAGTGGTTAAAGAATTTCTGGGATTGTATTTCTTTCAATCAGACAAGTAAATACGTGATAATTTTCAAATATCTTTCAGCACAAAAATTATGAAGAGTTTTTAGTCTGACCACAAACAAAATTTAACATTAGTTATTTTAGCTAATTAAATTCATGGCTTTAGCAGTAGCCTCAAAATTTTTGCAAAGAAAGATTAAAAGAGCTATCCAAATTTTAACATAACATTCTGAAGTCATGACCATAGAAAGTTTTATCCGCTAATTAAGAATATGAGTCGTGGTTCTTAATACCAATCTATTCAGTTTCTGTGAAATATCCCAGGAGAAGTACTAAGATCTGCTTTATAAGTTAGAAAATTTCTGAAGATTCTTACCTGTCTCATGTCAAGTGTCTGAATCTCAATCAAACTTTGTTCATCCGATCCTTGTTTTTACCTTGATTTGATTAGTTTTCTTGTTGATGAACTCTTCTTTAGAGTCATGGAAAGGAGCAAATGCGTTAAGTCTTCTACAAAAGGTTTTGTCTAAAGAGATCTTATCCCAGAAGGAAATAGCCTCTTCTTGTCTACCACTCTTCGTCATGTCTGTTGTGGATTGTTCTATAATTTTTTGTTCTTCCATTATTAATAAACAACTTCTAATATTATATATTAAATTTTGGAAAGGGGTTTTGGGGTTTTGGGGTTTTGGGGTTTTGGGG